AAAATGAATGTCTTTATTTGCTCAGGTGGTGTGTGCTGCAACATGCCAGGAAGGTCTTGAGAAAACAAATGTGCTTTATTTCAGTGACTGAAAAGCCAGTTAAAGTTTTGTTTAAGAAAGGTAGTTTTATAATTGTAGTGAAAGCTAATATTAGCTGTCCCTTTATGTACTATATACTAACACTATTAGGGTCATTTGCATACATAGTGATACTCATGACTACTAGGCTCCTGTGATTGACACCTCTGAGGCTCTGCAATACATACAGTTGGCCTAGTCTCTTCATTACTTCATGAAGCTATCATGGGGTGGGATTTTCCATATTTTTGGAATATGTGCAAAAATAATGTGAGTCAAAAATATGATACTCCCTCTAAATCTAAACTCAATGAAATCATCCCCCCTAAGCCCTTGACAGTAATGGGAAGTAGAATCTGTTCTGTGTTCAATGAAGACATTAGACCTTCCCCTTTTACAGTAATGGCCAGGGGTCAGGAGGAGGCTCATAGTATTAGATCTTGCTCACTGTCATATAATGGGTGGACACCTTGGAATTGAGAAAACTATTGAGAGGATAACACAGAGGTTCTTTTGGCCTGGGTTAAATGTCAAGAATGTCTGTATTCTACATCTATGGCCCATTATCGCAGCCCAGTGATGGCTTTGCAAATCACTGAATGACCATTTAAAAGAAATTTCATGGATCTGGTAGGTCCAGTTGTAAAATCTGCCCAGGAACATTAGCATGTACTTACCTTAGATTGTACGCCCCTTGACGGTTAGGGACTGATGTGAATGTACAATATATGTAAAGCGCTGCGTAAATTGACGGCGCTATATAAGTCCCTGAAATAAATAATAATAATTAAATAATGTACTAGTAATACTGGTCTATACTTGATATCCTGAAGTAATTCTCTTGCACAATACACCAGCCACAACTAATGCTAAAGAACTTGTTCAGATATTTAGTCGTGTAGGCATCCTGAAAGAAGTATTAAACCTGTATTATACCCAAATGCAAACATTTATTATACTGCAGCTCACAATTTCTTAGATTTGATGGCTGTGTTAGTTTCCTTTATGGATGACAATGACTTGCACACATGGAATGATGGTTTTATGATTTTTTTTTGTACTATAGAGGCACCTTTCTCTACACCTTTGAGGGGATTGCAGGCTGGGAATGGTGGTCTAGGAAGCAGTGGGCAGGTTTCTTGGCACCCTTCCCCTGGAGATGCTGAGTAAGCATACTTTAATCTTTCCTCTTAGATTGTAAACTCCAAGGAGCAGGATCCTCCTAACCCTCTTGTATTGAACTATATTGTTGCTGTATTGTCTCCCTTTATTTCGTAAAGCACTGAGCAAATTGTTGACGCTATATAAATCCTGTATTATTATAATAATAATAATAATAATCTGGCCCCAGAGGTGGCCACATATTATGAAAGCCTGAACACAAAGATTCTCTTGACTACTGTGATATGCAGGGCTGTGAGTGCAGGGCTTGGGCCTACCACCTAGGAAAAGCTACCCTGTGTCCAGATGCATGAATTGGCTCATCTGGTAAAAAAAAAGTATTGAGTCAGAAATAATGACTGTGGCCCAGGTCACAGAACCATAGGCCTTTCCCTTTGGTCTCTTCTACAGGATTTACAGCAGTGGGTTTGTCACACCAATCCTAAACCAACAGAAATGCTGATGGAGAGCATTGAAAGCTACCTTGTTCTGTAGGACTGACTACTAGCCACTTCACCTGTCTTTGTACTGAGTCAGAAGCCACTTCACCTTTAAAATCTAAGAGCCAGACTTTTTATTTGAGGCTAGAGACAGCTACCCAGGGTAACCCCCATTAGGTTAAGAAGCGGTCCTGAACCTGCATAATCCTCTGTCATTGGGGTGAGACAGATCACTTCACGTAGTTGTGTCCACACTGAGAAGAGCCTATAGACTGCAGTCTGCTCAGAGAGCACTCTCTGTAAGCCCAACTGGTATGTAGCATGGACCAAACCAGTAAACCTATGTGGCCAAAATTACCAGAAGTCTACTGTGTCACTTTTGAATTCCAGTGGTTTAGCCACCTAGCTCAAAGCAGGCCTTGTAAACACTTGAGACTTTAAAAGCTGCCTGTATCCATGGCTACAGTCAATTTATTGAGGAAGTGAGCAATATCAATAAATAGATAAATATATAGATATTTGGAAGTGACTTTTCCTTGTTTTTTTAGAAGACACCTCCTTTGTGTTGTCCCCAATACTGGGGAACAGGAGGGATCACGTCACTTCCCTGAGGTACATGGTCTGATGTTGGGACCCAGGAAGAGAATCCACCAAATTGCCAAGAGTTTAATGATGTAAAGAAGGTGGTGTCACCTGACAGGGTGAACAAGGATAATGTTGTCAGTGATGTTAATGACTGCCACACTTCTTCCCAAGGGTAATGGTAATCAATGACAATTATGCCTGTAATTTGTGAACATATGCTAACAGCCCAGGAGGCTCTAACCAGGATCTGCAATATGTCAGCAAGGGTAAGAATTTGTGACCTGGAAATGGGGTCTTGGTGTTGGTCCCAACCATAACAAATAGCTTTGTGGCAAGGCCCATTTAAGATCCTTTAACAAGTTGGGTAGGTAAACTATTGGATACCAGCCAGATAAGCAAAAGACAGATCAAATTTACTATGTGAACCTAATCAAACCCTGGAAGTATATAGTGTGCAATTACTCTACTTAGTCCACTGCCAGAAAGCAGATCTTTGTTGTCAGAAGTTAAGGTGGCCTCTCTTATCCACAGTGCAGAAGCAGGAAGCAAATGTATTCCTACAGTGAAACCAAGAGGTCCTCTCAGATCACCCAATTGTTGCAAATTCCAAAAGCTTGAATACAAGTTATAGCAGATGAGGTGCAGAAAATGCTAGATCTTTGAATAATAGATAGGTCAGATAAATGAATTAATAGAAAGACTAGGGCTGCCCAGTTCATATCCACCTTAGATCTGACTAAGAGGTACAGGAAAATATTCCTCTCTGACATCACCATAGAAAAGATCACTTTTGCCATTCCAGAGAGTTTGTATGTCTTTGTAAGATACTCAGTCACCTGTTGTGGCACTGTGGATCTCAGAGCTGAATGACATAGTTCAAGTGGCCACCAGTGGGTGTCTCCCAGCAGCCAGCAGATCCTAGGATCCACTTGATACTGGCTGCTGGGAAGGTATATAACCCCTCCCTTGACTTTCATCAGTACTTCAGTGTTTTGCCTGTTAGCCTGTTAGCCATATACCTGCTTGCTGATAATCCTGATCCTTGCCTGATCTTGTATCCTGTACCTTGTAACCAGTATCCTGCATCCTGTATTTAGTACCCTATATCATGTTACCCCATCTCTGCTTCCCTCGTTCCTAGTCCAAGTCCTGATCATGCCCTGTTTATGTGAGCTTCCCTCTATTTGTGCAACATGTATTATAGCTAGGTTGTTGGTTTGGTTATTTCATTCACTATTATATTTATTTCTCACTTTTGCTTTTTTTTTGCAGTCTGTTGGTGTCAGAAAGGTGTTTTTTGTATTCAAAAACTTTACTTCACTAATCTTGGTCTGTTTCCAGCTTCCTTAAAGTGGTAGTAAACTCTTCTTTAATAATCCTACCTACAAGTAAGTCTATAATAAACCTTAATGATGAACCTTACCTGTAGGTAAAATAATATCTCCTAAACATGCACCATTTAGGATATATTAGCCCTTTTGGATAGCCTGCGCATGTGCTTTCAAGGAACAGCATACCTTATGACTTTACCTTGCAGTGTTTTTTTTTTTATTGGATGCAATTTACTACCGTTTTAAGGTCCCTTTAACATGGGCGGTTAGAATTCAGCTTTTAGCTGCAAATCAATGACGGTATCCACCACACTAAATGCAGACAATGCAGCCCTATGGCCCCATTCACACACTGCATTTAGAGACAGTTTTGTTACATGCAGTTTGGTGCTGTTAGAAAAAATAAAGTTGACTATGTCCAGGAATGATGTATCATTGCTCTCTGTGCATAACCACGGGTAATCGCAGAGCAGAATTTCATCTATGGATAGTAGTAGCAATAAGTGTAAGAAAAACAACAGGAAGCACATTGGAATTGCAAGGGATACTTGGGAAATTCCAGGAATGTCCAGGACACTCAGACAGGGTCATGAAAAGGCTGAAATGGGAGGAAATAGACCAATTTCTGACTTCAAACTTGGAAAATGAATCTGCAAGTGAGCAGGAAAATAGAGGTGAGTGAAAAGATTGTGGGTAGGGGACAAGGGTAGAGATACATGGCCACAGCAACCATATCTGAAAAAAGAGCAAATGCATTTTTCCCAAGGTTATTGTTTATTGTTCCCAAGGTTATTGTTTGCTATGGTCAATTAATGCTCCATCCATTGTGTTTAATAGTTGCCAATGGAAAATATTGTAGGAAAGGGAATATTGACAAAATGGAAGTCCCTACATAATTGCTACAATAAGGAACTCCATGAAGAGAGGTCTGCAGAAAGAAGTGGAGCAGCTGCATCACACTGTAGACTATACTGCCATGCAGAGGCCTTTTTGAGGTGCGCCAGAGATACGACCGCAAACTAATTTCATTTTTGAATACAATAAAATGCAGATACTCTCTACTTATAACGACCTTATTATTTGCCCTGTCGTTTGACTATGCAATATCACCAGCTGCTCTCCCGAGCACCACTAACTAGACCAGAATAGTATTCCTATAATCACTTTATTTCCTAAAGGCATCTGAAATTTTTTTTTTTTATTTTCAGTCAGCTGTTCCTAGGTTGCAGTCCTGTAATTTACATACTTTACACTAGAGTTGTGACAAGCTTTTTTTTTTTTTTTTTTTTTTTTTTTTTTTTTTTTTTTAGATTAATACTGAAACAGCTACTGTATATCCTGATCCTCAAAGTTCTATGTTATTATGTTTACCTAGAGCCATCTCAAGCATTCCTTCAAGATCAAGGTGTGCAAGTGTGTCTACAGACTATGGAATCGAAGGAAAAACAAACCAAGCAACACCTAGTGGCTTTTAAAAAAACACCGCCCGCCTGGGGTGGATTGACAACTCATGGGGCCCCCGGGCAATAGGGGATCATGGGGCCCCTGTGTCCTCGCCCACACTCAAATCACACCCAAAAAAGCCTATGAAAGGTACCATGGACATCTCATGGGGCCCCCTACTGACCCCGGGCCCTCTGGCAGTGCCCGAGTTCCCCAATGGTCAGTCCGCCCCTGCCGCCCGCCATTCATTTCCATGACTCTAACCCTGCCATGAGCACGCCTTTTTCAGGACCCCCACCAATGTACCCACCTTACACATCTAATCCTGGTTTTCAAAGAATGCATGACCAGCAAAACCCACGCTATCCACCCTCATCTTTACCTTATTTATCTTAACTATTCCTGTCCACTGCCTGGATAAACTAAAGTAGTAATGATCATTTTATCAAAGAGTCCAAGTTGGGTGGCTGATGCCACAATCTGCACCCATGCAATTTAGAACAAGTCTTACATACATACAAAATTATACACGTTTTCCTCTGTATAGTGATTATTTACAATTGTTTCTGTAAGAAAATGGGTTTCTGTAAAACTGGCAAAACACAAAGCTATTTACTGCACCTGCAGTGCCAATATGTATTATGAAAACAAAATTGGCCACATCACATGTGACAGTGGAATACTTGTTGAGATTTCTGCATCTTATCACACATACAATATTGATTCAAAAAAGTGTTGAATATTTGAAACTGAAAAGCTTTCTCAACATTCAAACATTCAACATTCAAATATTTTTTTTTCTACAGGGAAACATGTATTATCAAGATTTTGTATTTCCAAGACCTAAGGTCTTCTTTCTTTCTTTACAAAGTTTGTTTACTTTTTACATAAATCAAACAAAAAAATGGGCAAAGGACTAAACTTTTTTTGCATGTTATATTTTCAAAAAAATATTACAACTGATATGCTATCAATTTTAGAAACGTAACAAACATTGTAAAATGCTAAAAAGGGTAAAATCGCAAAACAGTAGTAAGACTATTTTTACATGAGAAAACTCTTGAAACAATAAAAGGTTATATAAAAAATATTTTGTCAAGACACCTATCCTTCTTCAGAAATAAAGTAGTCCACAAAATGTTCACATATCTGGAGGGCATGATTACTGGGACATGTGACAGTCTGATGACCTTCAAGTGCATTTGTCATCTGTTCTGGAGATTCGGTGGACACATTCTCCCTAATCCTTAAAAAGTTATGCAGAACACAGCATGCAAACATTACGTTGATAGCATGCTCAATCTCCAGGTGCATTGATGTTAACAAAACATATCACTCCAAAAGCACACTCCACTATTTTGCGTGCCGTACTCAAGTTGAAAATTAAAAATGTGTTTCCTGGAATCTGAGCCACACTTCGTGTAGGGCCTGAGGAGGTAGGTGGATAAAGCAAATTTCTTATCTGCTACTTCCACTAGAGGCAGATCGGTCTAGAAATGCCAGGTAGAAGTCTTGTTTGTGGCATGTGAATTTCCTCATATTGGAAATGTTGACCCATAACAGAATTACAGAAAATTCTTCTTCAACATCCACCACTTCAAATTCCATTTTGGTGTCGCATTATCGAGTCCCAGTAGAACAATAGAGAAGAAGTGGGATCCGGAATTGGGTGGCTTGCAATACAATTTGGGAAATTAGTGTTCTCTCAAAACTCATCAGCTATTTATTCCCACAAACTGGCAGTTGGTTCTGGCATTACTGATTTTTTCAGTTCTTCCCACAATGTAAGAAATATGTAATGCACAATGTTGACATTGTAGATATTCCCATTAAAAAATGATGGTGTAAGGAGGTGAAACTGGTATCAGTGGCAAGGTATATGCAATAAAAAAACACTGGTATTGCACACATTTAAAAAAAATATATGATTTATTTTAAAAAATTAAAACAGGAAAAAAAATTACCTATATTATCAAATATCTGTTCAACATATATAATTGAGGGACTAACAGACAGTTTTCTTCTCCAATGCTTCATCTCATGTTGGTATGCATTCTGCTCAGACGTCCTCTTACAAATAATAACTGAACGAAGGTTGCCACGGACATCCTCGTAAAATTGTAGTTCTTGTCTGGGTGAGTATGCATTTCTCAAAACATGAGGGCAAAGTACCCAATAAAAGGATGCTGGAAGGTCAAAGGATGTACCCAGCTGAGACAACGTCTCCTCCACTGAATCACTTTTGTCTGTCTCCTTATTCTTATCCTCAAAAGCAGCAAAATGAGAACAGCAATCAGATTGCTACTGTATTCCATTTTTCATGATGATCACAATTTAGCAAAAATTGAAGTCCTCTCACTGAACAAAGATGCAGACGCTGAACAAAGACACAGAAAATGTGAGGGCAAAAATGCACTATGGGTTTTCAAGGGACTTAAAAAAACAGTTGCAATAGAAATATCCAGAATTTACCACTACAGCTAAACACAGAGGCATGTAAACACAAGTAATCACTGGTAATCGCAATGTATAGTGATCACTGGGCCTGGAGTATTGGGATTTCTAAAAATGAAAACATGCATTTATCTGCAGCACAACAATTGCCTGTGTGAAAGAGGCCTAAGTGTAGCCCACCAATCTGATCATCCCTGCTGTCACTGGATACCTGCATTTGGTATCCCTTACAGTCTGCATGCTGTTTGGCTTGCAAGGGGCCCCCAAACCTTTCTAAAAGCTAAAAATGAGAACAAAGAAATATGTAAAGATGTTTATCCCCCACCTCTATAGCTAATGTAAACTGTGTGCTTAAAAAATAAACAATCAACCATGTGACTATTATACTCAAATATAGAGTAGAGATGGCTGCAGACAACAATTGTGTTCCCACAACAAACAGTAAATATATAATAAACTAATATATATATTGTTGCACCTACTGTATATACGTGATTTTGCTCTTCTGGGTAGGAGGCGCGCGTGAACCACATGTTCTGCCCGTACCACCATTGGCAGCCTCACCTGTTGATCATCGGGTCCCGGCTGGTGATTCCCCGCCGGCGCTCAGCGATTGCCGTGTATCACTGGTGGGGGAGAGACCTGTATGTAAACAATATAGATCTCTCCCCTGTCAGCTCCTGCACACTGCTTTGTATGGCTTTGCATAGCAGAGTGATACAAAGCAGCATGCTTACAGTGTAAAACACACACAACACACAGTAAAACAGCATACAGCACACAGTTAACCCTTTGATTGACCCAGATGTTAACCCTTTCCTGCCCAGTGTCACTAATACAGTGTCAGTGCTTTTTATTAGCACTGATTACTTTATTGGCGTCACTGGAGATGTCAGAGACAGTTAGTCAGTTCCACCCCAGTGTTAGAACGCCCGCCGCAGTTCCGCAGTCATTAGTCCCGCTATAAGTCGCTCATTACTAGTATGAAAAAAAATTCCAGTATCTATAGCACCATTTGTAGACCCTATAACTTTCACCTAAACCAATTAATTTACACGTACTGGGATTTTTTTTTTAGCAAAGACACGTAGCAGAATACATTTTGGCTTAAATTTATGGTGAAATTTTTATTTTTATTTTTTTTTAACTGGACATGTTTAATAGCAAAAAGTAAAGAATATGTTTTTTTTTTTTCTCAAAATTGCCAGTCTTTTTTTTTTATAGCGCAAAAAAATAAAAAACACAGGCGATCAAATACCACTGAAAGAAAGCTCGATTTGTGGGAAAAAAAAAGAACATAACTTTCATATGGGTGCAGCGTTGTATGACCACACAATTGTCAGTTAAAGTAAAGCAGCGCCGTATGGCAAAAAAATGGCCTGGTCAGGAAGGGGGATAAATTCTCTGGAGAGCAAATGATTAAATACTGTTACACCTTATAAACATTGTGCACATCAAAAATATAAATGTCCTTTTTTGTCATTCAATCACCATTGTTATGCTACAAATAAACAGTGTTTCCACTTTTTAAAGTCTTTTGTGCTCCTCAAATGCGTGTATGAAAATAACCACCACCTTTCACCACTGCACTCACCTCAATAGATGGACCTGTGTGATTCAGGTCTTAAAGCGCTTTTTTCCCTTTATGGGACCCTTTCAGATATATCCACTTCAGTGTGCCGCTTGCCTGGATACGATTTCTATATAATCCCATATGAAGTGATCTGGCCCTTTAGGTTGCGGTCTTCTTCCCTCTATATCAATCTTGTGCACAATAGAAGTATCCCATAGTGTAGCATATTGAAAAAAAAATAAAATGTATTGATTAAATTGCACTTACATTAAAAACAAAATCACACATGTCCATCTATTGAGGATGTCCACAAGGTTTAAGAGTGTGTCTATGGGAATGTTTGACCATTCTTTCAGAAGCGCATTTGTGAGGTCAGGCACTGATGTCAGATGAGAAGGCATGGCTCATAGTCTCCGCTCTAATTTATCCCAAAGGTGTTCTATTGAATTGAGGTCAGGACTATTGAATTGAGGCCAGTTTAGTTCCCCCACTCCAAACTCACTCATCCATGTTTTCATTGGACCTTGCTTTGTGCACTGGTGCACAGCCATGTTAGAACAGGAAGGGGCCATCCCCAAACTGTCCCCACAAACTTGGAAGCATGAAATTGTCCAAAATGTCTTGGTATGGTGACACCTTGAGAGTTCCCTTTACTGGAACTAAGTGGCCAAGCCCAACCCCTGAAAAACAACCCTGCCCCATAAGCCCCCCCTCCACCAAACTTTACATTTGGCACAATGCAGTCAGGTAAGTACCGTTCTGGCAACTGCCAAACCCCCAGACACGTCCATCAGAAAAAAACAATCATTGTATTATATGAAAAGTATGAAACCATGTGCTGCAGAATAAGTTGTACTACTGTATATAAGGGCAATATAATTTGTAACAATATATTTTGTCTTTTTAATTAATGGGAGTGTTGGAAATAACATCAACCAATCAGGATTCTTAAAATGCTGTAATTTCCCATTTTTCAGAATTGAATGGTCAATATAAGGCAAAGGCAAAAGTGAATATTGCATATTATACTGGATCAGCAGAACAATTAATTTAACATATGAATAAAAATGTATTTAGATATTAAAATATGTTTAGGTCAAGGTATAATCCTACAGCTAGACTACAGTCACACAGTGTATCAACTTAATGAAACATGTTGAGAGTAAATAGCAGTCAGTTCTGAAGCAGATGAGAACTTTTGATACAAATGAATAGGG